AAAAAAACACACATGATCATCTCACTAGATGCTGAAAAAGCCTTTGACAACACCCACCACCCCTTCATGATAAAGGTCTTGGAGAAATCAGGGATAACAGGAACGTATCTCAACATAATAAAAGCAATATACAGCAAGCCAACAGCCAACATCAAATTAAATGGAGAGAAACTGGATCCAATTCCTCTAAAATCAGGGACAAGACAAGGCTGTCCGCTCTCTCCATACCTCTACAATATTGTCCTTGAAGTCCTAGCTAGAGCAATAAGACAACAAAAGGAGATCAAGGGAATACAAATCAGAAAGGAAGAAGTCAAACTCTCACTATTTGCAGACAATATGATAGTCTACATTAGTGACCCGAGAAAAACTCTACCAGGGAACTCCTACAGCTGATAAACACCTTCAGCTAAGTGGCAGGATACAAGATTAACTTATTTCTTACACTTTTAAAACAGTTGCTATAATCAATATTTTACAGATATTCGTAGATATTAGCAAACTTCCAATTAAGGATATGTTTGTGCACATGCATGTTAAACATGTGAAAAACTAAGAAAATTGGAGTTGGATATAAATAAGTGATGTATTCCTTTCCTCCTCTTTAGCCTCCTCACACTATCAACAGGTAGCTGATATGCTCAACACTGAAAGGACCTAAGACACTTCTGATTATTCAGTGCTGGATCTACCAAAACTGACTGTGGGTGCACTGTTACAGATATCTTCATATGTATAATGTATTTGTACACATGTGGTTTTTAAGGCAAAACTTTTTGAATACAGTCCCTACTATAAAACATCTTACTCTATTTCTAAGAAGAAATACAAGTACAAAATGTCAGTTCCATTATATAATAGCTACACATGAGAAATGAAAGGTAGTACATGTAGGAAGGAATGCTTCTTGTTTATACAGAATGGACATTCTTATAGCTTGAAAGCACGTGAATAGTAATACACTGTTGTAACCATAACTCTTTCTGCCAGTTGCCTGAGTTTTGCTGCCACATTAGGGCCCCAAAATAACACACAGAGTCTTATATTAGTTACAATGCTTTTGGCCAATGACGAGGATTTTTTATTTGCTAGCTCTGTCTTAGGTATCAACCATTAATCTATATATTTTTACAAAGATTTATCTTTTTGTGGACACCAGCATCGTGTGTCATCTCTTTCCAGGCTCACATGGTGACTCCTGTATTTACTACATTTCCCCAAATCCTCCTCAACTCCTAGCCCCACCTATCTTGCTTTCCTATTGGCCATCAGTGCTTTATTTAGCAACCAATAAGACAAACATATACACAGAAGGACTTCCCCCATCACAATGTGAAGAGGTTTTGATTTTCTTTAAATTCCTGCCTAACAGAGGTTTTCACATCTTAAATTCTGCATCTTAGATTCTTATGTATCATCCATCATTTCTCCTTCTGTTTCTTAACATATTTTTAAACTCCTTCATGTCTGACATATGTTTTCCTTGTGCAATCCCCTTACTAGTTTTTATATAGTGTATTGTATTCAGTCTTGGATTCACCAAGTGTTTACTGTGAGATTGACACATGCTGAGCATGTGTCAGCATGTCCTAGTTCTGGGAACAAAGCAAGGATTAAAATAAAATTCTAAACTTTAAAAAAAATATATACCAGAGTAAGACAAGATAGACACAAACAAATTAGTAAATGTGTTATTTATGTGCAGACATTGTAACAAGTTTTATGGAAAGTGCATGTCATGAAATGGCATGAATAACCACTCATCAACACTAATGGACCAGAAAATTATTAATAAATGTCTTTAATATTAGTGGGTTCTGTAAGAAGAAAAAATGGTGAAATAGAACATGGCAAAAAATATATTTTATAGGATAGTCAAGAATGTTTTATTAAGAAGAGGATTTTTGAGTTTGCAACCAATCTCAGGAAAGAACATTCTGGGAAAAGAATATTACAGACTAAAAGAAAAAGTAATAAATATCTGAAATTGAAGAGGAACATGTTTGCTGCCACTTCAGGGAGGTCTATGCTACTAGAGATGGTTGATGAGGGAGAGAGTGGGAAGATATCATAGTGAAGAGGTAAATAGTCCTTGGGTAGGTCTTGAAGGTCATGGCAAGGAACTCAATTTTCAACACACATATATGGAATGTGGAGAGCTGTGAAGGAAAGGAGGCAAGTTTAGTCTTACTTTTTTTTTTAAATGTGTGCACCTAAATTGAAAAAGGCTTCTCGAAGGGAAAGTTCAGGACGCAACGTGAAAACCCCTTAAGAGATGCTGGAGACTCCAGGCAAGAGTGAGGGGCTTTGGTTTTCAGTGTAGATGGATATTTGATTTTAATGATTTGAAAGAAAAATGAGAACAATAATTTAATTGAATTGGATTAAATATAGGTGTATTTTGAAAATAACTGGATGTAGAACAAGAGAAAAAGTGACCACAGACAACCCTAAGGCCTGAGGCACTGCTCATCAGCAGCATAGAAAGTGTCTTGTGTATATCAACTGTCTTAGTTAATTACATACAATGCAGAATCAAAATAGACCATTTGGAAACGTGGACCCCAACTTTCAGAGAGCTTAATTCTTGGAACAAAACATTGGACTCATTATAAAAAAACTTAATATTTTTACAAAATAAAATAATGCTTTTTCTTGTGAAGTTCTTGTGTCATAGTGTATAAACAGACAGATTAGAGAAGTCTTTGGTTTCCTAATAGCTGTGTAGACACTGTGCTTGGCTTCAAAGCATACTATATCTGAGGTAACTGTTGCTGAGAGCAGTGCTATTTAATAGTACTCCTTGCTTTGGTGTATGAATTTAGGGTATATTTTATTTGCAATGGAATCCTAACACATACTTTAAAATGGATTTAATATATTAATTGTGTTGTCTTTATTTCCATTGTCTGACAGTGTGCCAGAGGTAAAATATACTGGTCTTAAAGGATTTGTTTTTCAAATGGCCAAATTGGCACACACAAAACCTTAACTGGTGACAAATTAACTATTTAATGATATGTCTCCAATATCTTTCTAGAATCTTTGTAGAAAGTCATTGGCCTATAATTGCTACCCTTTATGAGTATACATACATATATAATACATTTCATTTATAGTCTTTTAGGTACATTTTACATTCAAATATTCAAAAAAGAACAGTTATTTATTGACCTGATAACATGGAGAAATTCTTTAAGTATTCTGAATTCATTTTGTATAACAAGAGTTTGAGAAGTACGACAAATTGTTGTCTTTATTTGATATAGTATTTGGAAACTTGGAAGGAATAATTAGAGATGAGCTGTTTTCAGTCTTTACATGCATTTAATAGACTGATGCTTAAAATACCCTTGATGCAACTGAAAGAACTTCACATGTTTGTCTTGTCTCTGCATGTTCAGGCTTTCTTGAGTTGATGATCGTTAGTATACATCATATAGTCATATGATACAGAATTAAGTATAAAAAAAACAAAAAAGAAGAAGAAATGGAAATAAAGACTTACTGAGCCAGCTCAAGTAGAACAATGCAGAAAATGTACTAAAGAATTTTCATGAATGTACCTTTTGAGCTAAAACAAGTAGAACAATGCAGAAAATGTACTAAAGAATTTTCATGAATGTACCTTTAAAATTTAAATAATGAAACCTAGTTTCTTTCATTTTATAGTTCCTTTGCTACTATTCATATTAGTAAATAATCCCAAAGAATATCCAGGGTCTACTGTTTTCTCTCCAGGATGATCCCTTAACACTGATTCAAATGTGATCCTAATACCTATATTGATCCATTTAATAGTATGTATGCATGTGTTTTTTGTGTGTCTATCAATAGAAAATGACACCATCTATTGGACAGACATGGGACTTAATAAAATCAGCAGAGCTAAAAGAGATCAGACATGGAAAGAAGACATTGTTACCAATGGCTTGGGAAGAGTGGAAGGGAAAGCTGTAGGCTGGGAGGCTGGGTAAAAAAAAAAAAAAAAAAAAGAAAGAAAAATCTATGGCTTATTCTTGTTTTTATTCCACAGTTATTTTTTTCTAGGGGGTTCATTCTTTAAACTATTTCTGGTTCTTGTTTCTAACATCTTAAAAATTCTTTCTAGCCAAAGGGGTAAATTTTCTACTTAGCCTTTGGATAGAATTTTATTTAGATGTAGAATGTGTGTATTGTTAACTTTGCTCAGTTCTCCAGAGAGTTCCATGTGGTAAACAAATTTTAAGAAGTTTCCTTTTGCTAAAGTCAGAGTAAAAACACTTACTCTGAAATGTTGGGAGAAGTTTCCACTTGGCTCAAACATGTCAATATATACTAAATAGTTTAAAACAGCAAAATATGAGATTTGGATTTGAAGACTGTATGAATTAGTTTAATTATACCTGTTTATTAAATATACAATCAAAGGAAATAAACAAGCTCTTAGTTATGTAAAGACTCAGAAACTTAATTTCAAGCATACCTGAGAAACATTTCTATTACTCCTAACTTGATTGTGGGCATTTCTTTATTTTTCCTAGGCAACATATATTGGACAGATCATGGTTTCAATTTAATTGAAGTTGCAAGACTCAATGGCTCTTTCCGTTATGTTATTATTTCCCAAGGCCTGGATCAACCAAGATCTATAGCTGTGCACCCAGAAAAAGGGTAATTTTAAGATTTATATATATTTTCTGGGCCTGAACTGTATTTTCTTAAGTTATGTTTGGAAAATTTAGACATTAGCATTATTGCAACTATAATATGTACAACATATAATAATTTTAACATATAAAGTTTAATTTTATGATTATTTGTTTAAAAATCATAATTATCATGAACTTTAAAATTATTTTTTAAATTATTTAACAATTTTGTATAATGTATTTTGGCCAATCTCATGCCCTGTTCCCTCTCTTATCCCATACCCATTCCCAATGAACACTTTCTTCCCAGCCATACCCACTCCTACTTTATAAGTTTTTACTTAATTTTTGTTAACCAGTGAATCAAAATAGAGTTGATTGTAGATGGTAGGGGACATTGATATTAACGTGGCTATAAAACTGAACAATACAAAACCAAAAAAACAACCGAGTAACCAACCCCAACAGTCATTAACTACCAAGAGCTAGACAGAAGAGGTGGGGCCTAATGATACTGTTTCTTATCCATGATAAGATGTTCATGGATCCATCATGTACAGGTATTGTGGAGTTAAACACTTCTGTGTGTTCATGGCATTAGGCAGAATGGACTACATGTTCATACTTAGATAAGTCAAATGGGCAAACAAAAGATTAAATATTGATGTATTTAATAATAAAATATGTACTCCATCACCTAGAGCTTGGATAATGTCTTAGTGTAATAAATCTGTACCAGATGTTAGAATAAGATTCATTTCTATAAGCCCCGGAAACTTCTGACTTGTCAGGGTTTAAAGAGACAATTATTTTTTGGGCACAAAAAATAGTTCCTTTGATTGTTCTATTTTTCTTGCCCTTCTAACACATTCTCCTTTATGAATTATTTTTATGGGTCTATTTTTCTTTTTGTTGTAATATACTGATTATACTTATTGTCACAATGGCATTTTTACAATGCACATAAGACATTATGATAATTTTTACCTCTTGTTATTCTCCTTTATACAGTTCTCATTCCTGATTATCTACTTCCTCTTTTCAATTAGTACCAATTCTACTATGTTTTTTTTTTGTGGGGGGGGATGAGTTTACACAATGAGTTTCATTAGGTACACTTTCAGGAATCAAAATTTACTAGCACATGGACATCTTAACAGAAACTAGTCTACTGAAGATTCTCTCTCTCTCTCTCTCTCTCTCTCTCTCTCTCTCTCTCTCTCTCTTTCACCATCCATCCCTCTCTCTCCAAGGCAAAACTTGTCTATACCTTCTCAGGAGTGATGGGGTGGTGCCTCTTGAGTTGCAGCTGCCCCCACCAACAAGCATAAACTTTTTAAATGTCTTCTTGGTTGTGATCAGTGGAGCCTCAGAGTAGCTCTACACCTCTGTGATGAAAAGGTGATGGACCCATTTTAGAGCAGGTCTTGTGTGGGGAATCAGTGCAGCTGAGAGTTCAAATGTGTGCAGTAGCTGTGCTGTATCAAAGACAGCAAATCACAAAGCCTCCCACTGTTTATGTGGCTCATACATTCTTTCTGACTTACCTTTCAAAATGTTTCATGAGCCTTGGGGATGCTATCATTGTCCCAATTAGGGCCAGACATTATGCTATTTATTTTCAGCAATTTCTTCATTTCTGAGTTTCTGTAATAATGTGGTAACCACCACTCACTGAAAAAGAAAAACAAAGAGGAAGAAACATTTATGACCAAAGTTGACAACATTATTAATGCATGAGAATAATCATAAATATTTAGAAGGCAACTTGAAAGGCACATCATGTTCATTTACCAAAACAAAGTCAGCACATTCACCGCTAAAGACTATACCCTCTCCAGCCATGGATTTTGACTAGATTTATAGTACCAGAAATAAATTCCTGCCTCTGAAGTAGGCATCAAATACAATCAGAAAGTGATTATTTATGGTTGTTTATCCTCCAAGGAGTTTATCCTCCAAATTACTAATGCACCAATGGGTAACATCATGCCTGGCATAAAGAGTTCTCATATGAATATGACTGTGATGACATTTCTGCTCCAGCAGCCTGTACAACATCTTTTAAAACTGTGAAAGCTAGCATTCAGGGAGGAATCTTCCATCTCAGTTCCAGCTTGGTTTCTCTATGTCATGCAACAAACACATAATATATTTTACATATTTTCCACAATAAAGTCTTATCATATAGTTCTTGTGAGTAACTATTGAGTCTATCTCAACCAGCAAGAAGGACACGACCACGACTCTTCTTCAAGCAGTTTATTCAGGAACATTGTACATCAGCTTCTCCTACTTCTACCTAGCTTCTCTCTCTGCTTCTACCTCAGCTTCTTCCTCAGCTTCTACCTCAGCTTCAATATCTCCCAGTGCCCTGGCAAGCCCTTAAAAGCAAGCTCATTCCCCAATTAACTCACGCCACCTGACAATCCCGGATAGCAAGCTCATTACCCAATTAGCTCATGCCACCTGATGATCCTGGATAGGTCACAGCTGGAGGAGGCACACCAGATCCACTAAGAGCTTCCAAATAAGGCTTGTTTACATCTAAGCTCAGTCTCCCTGGCATCCAGCCAGGTGCCATCTTGGGACTGTGACTCCCCACAAGTAACCAACAGCAGTGATAAAAGCCTGTAGATTTGGGGGAACACAAACATCTTCCAGGCTGGTACTATCATTTAATAATGTTATAGTTTCTGGGAGACGCATAGTCCATCCATTCAAGAAAATGCCATTAAAATTATTTTTTATTTTTATTTTTTAAATAAGTTTAAAATAATTGTTTTGTATAGCTCTTGTGCACACACTTATTTGTGTTGACCCCCCCTTTCTTCTTTTATTTCTCAGATCCCTTATCCTATCTCCACTTAAATTTTCACAGCCCCAGTATTTCCCATATATTATTTTTTATACTCTCATGGGCCTCTTCATAATTTCTTAACTTCTGTATACTTACCCACATAAATACACACATAAAAATTAGAAACAAGGATCCACACATAAGAAAAAAATGTGGTGTTTGTGTTTTTTTAATTTAAATTCTTTAATTACTACTCATATTTACATATCCATCCCCCCATTCCCTAGCCCGCCCATCCTCCCATGTTCCGGACCAACCCATGCCCCCAAGTCCTTCCCAGGGATAGTGAGGCACTCCACCAGGGCCTTCAAAGTCTGTCATATCATTTGGGGGAGGGCCTAGGCCCTCCTTTCTGTATCTAGGCTGCAATAGTATCCCTCCTAAAATGATTGAAATGCTGCTTTTTCCTGGTTTCACACAAAGCCATAGGATATCATATCTATCCTCACATCCTTCCATTGCTCTTTGTAGACATTTCTCAGACTTACTCTTTCACCAATTGAGAGACCATGATCTTATCAGTTACTTATAAAGATCTCTATAAATACTTTTGACTTCCTAATCTCCAGTCCTTATCATAAAATTTACATTTCAGTTTATGAGCCAAGAACTTTTATATTTATAACGATGCTGGAATATTCTGTGTATGCCCTCACTGTTTATATAAACTATTTCATAAAGAGCCACATGTTTCATGATTGCAGTTAAGAGGAGAAATGTTTTATAGGAAAAAATAATTATTATTTGAAAACACCAGTGACAGGTGTCCCTCTAAACATTAGCATGAATGTATTTATTGACTTAACTCCAGTGGAAAAGGAATTAAAATGAAATGTTTATGAAAATCATTCAAAATGACTTCCAAGTAATATTATCATAGAATTTTAAGCTCTAAAATTCCTATGTTAGAAATAAAACACAGCATTTTACAATTCTGTTTGAAATTAAAACATGGCAGGTGATACTGTCAAGGGAAAGGCATAGCATAATAGAGCAAATTGTCGAAATTCAAGATATTAATTTGCCATGTAAGGATGGCTTGAATCCATTTTCTCAGCCATATTAATCAACATGATAAGCATCTTCCAGCTGAAAAGCATGGCCTCAGTTGGGGCTGTAATCCCAGAATGAGAGTGTTGCTCATCTCTCTGTGTTTTATGTTCCTAAAGGTTCTGCTTATTCAGGTCTCTACCTTTCCTAATCTCAGGCTTTCATTTGTACAGTACAATTTAATTTTGGATAAATCCAAATCTCTTGACCTTATTAAATTGATGAGTTAACTCACCATAAAATTTTTGTCATGCAATTATATTTGGTATTCTTTCAGCTCTCTTTCTATTTTAAATTTTGTTTACTTTTATTTTATGTGTATTGGTATTTTGCTTGTATGTATGTCTGAAGATGCCAGATCCCCTGGGACTGGAGTTACAGACAGTGGTGAGCTGCCATGTGGGTGCTGGGAATTGAGCCTCAGTGCTCGTAACTGCTGAATTTTCTCTCCAACCCTTAAAGATACTCTTACATACATAAAAATTGAGATGAAATCTACATCTAGAATAGTTTTTCTTTAAAAATCTTTTTAGTCAACAAATTGTGTCAGTACACAACTTAACATCTTGCATGGAAACATCACAAATTCAAAATAAGATGTTATTACTTTTAAGTAAGATAAAGCTGCTTCACAAAACTAAGCTCCAAGCATTCATGATATTCCTCACTCCACCTCTGTTTTTATGTAGACACATCTCTTATTAAATTCAAGATAGCTCAGGAAAAATATCATACAATACAAAATTATTACCATTGTTACAACATTACACAACGAAGATGGTGGTAAATGCTTGGATTTTTTTCCTAGCCTGTCCATTGTTTGATCATATGAACAGAAAATATTCACTTTTAGAGCCATCATTTCCATTGCTCTGGAAATTAGGGTTAAATACGGGAAACAGCTTACTTAGACTACTTGTTCTGTAAGGTCCACATAATGATATACAATTGCTGGGCATTTGGATTTGAATGAGTCAGTTTATCAAATTGATAACAAGCAAAAGTAAAAGAATAAAAATCAAGCACCAGAAGGAACCTGGAGAGAATGAGACATCATTAGATGAAGTGCTCACAGCATGTCCCAGAAATGAGTGAATTAACCTGTGAGAGGGAAAGCCAAAGGAAGCCACATCAAATTGTGGAAAATTGACTTCGAAAGCCAGCAGGGGTTTTAGTTTGAGAGAACCCTTGGTGGAGAAGTGTCCCCTCAAGTGAGACTTCCAAGATGAAAACAACAAACCAACAAAACAAAACAAATAGCATACGGATAGGGACCATCAGATTGGGTGCTTTAGATTATTATCAAGCAGAAACTGGCTGGATAAACTATGATAGGCAGTTGAGAGAATCTCAAACAAACAGCACATGCCAACTTTTTCATCGATGGACTTCTGGCTTTCCTTTTCACTGTAGACATTTTTTTTATTATTATTATAGGATAAATGGTAATCTTGTTTGAAAAGAGCCTGCCTTCTAGCTGTCCTCAAGGGCATAGTGTTTTTAACTTAACTATTTGCTGTTTTCCTTTCATCTTGTTTTAAAAGCTTAAGGGGCCAGGGAGGGACCTTTAGAGGAGAGAGTGAGGGCCTCTGTTTCCTGGAGTCTGCTTTCACCAAGCTTGAACAGGACATTATGATTTACTAATATAAAGTATAGTAGGAAATTACCAATACGGAGTCAGGTAGAAATATAAGG